AAAGGAGAAGCAAACATCATCATCAAGTTGGGTGTGGTGCAAGCCTGTGACGGGCACTTGAGAGGCAGAGGCAGGAAGATCAGGAATTTAGGGGCATTCTTATATAGAGAGCGAGACTGAGAGGAGCCCAGGCTGTGTGAGATCCTTCTCAAGGAAACAAAACAAAAGGAACCACTACAAGTACCCAACAACTGCTACAACTACGCTATGACCCCGGCCGGACCTTGACTTAGATGAAACTCACTTGCTCTTTTCAAAGAACATGATTGGAAAAGCACACAAGCAACACCTGACAAGCCCCGTTTCAACCTTGCCCTGCTGCTGTCTACATGGCTCAGTTTAGGAAGTAAATTAAAAAATGTTGCTACCTTACTTATTTCAGATTCTTGGCTTGCTTCCTTGGAGAGGATGGGTTTGTGTGAACTGATCATATCTGGTGTTTGTTTGCAGGGTTGGAAATGGGTATTCTGTACACTGTCACTACGCTTTGTGCTCTGATGCCGACTCAGGAAATACCCTTTGTGTATTTGTGTGTGTGTGTGTGTGTGCGCGCGCGCGCGTGCGCGCACGCGCACGTGCACTCATGTGGACGCTAAAGGTCAACATTGTGTGTCCTCCTCTATTACTTTCTACCTTGGGTCTCTCACTGAACCTGGAGATCTAGTCAGGTAGGGAGACCAGCCAGACAGTAAGCCCCGGGGATCCTCCCATCCCTGCCTCCTAGCTGTATAATTTATAGGCATACACCACCATACCTGACTTGTGTGCTGGGGACCCGAACTCAGGTCCTCATGCTTCCGCAGCAAGCCCTTTGTCCATCGAGTCACCTCGTTGTCCCCAGATGCACTTTTTTTTTTAAATGTAGAAACCCTTCACTAGACAAAGCACGCACAAGCACTCTACATTTTTAAGTCTTTATTTTTTTAAGTAAAGAAATTTCATTGAATCAAAGATAACAAAATTACAGTTTTTGTTTGTAATGATCTTTGTTCACCACCACACAGAATCAAAGTAGAATCAAAAGTAATGTGAGAACATAAAACAATCAAGGACGCCATCGTTTAGTATAATTTCTTAATAAAGGTAAATATCCTCGTGTTTAGAAAAAAGTTGCATTGCTAATTGCAAGTCCTAAACGCCCTGTGCTGGCAGAGTCAAAGGACACAGCAGCTCAGGCAGGGGCTTTCAGAGCACGGACTCCGAGATACAGTATTTCCGGGGCAGCATCTGGAGTTCCGTAAAACCCAGAGAGCAAAGCAAAAATGAACTAGAATCAGGAATGTGAAAGTGACGGTTCTTGAGAATCAATCTGGAAGCAGATCTGCCAAGGTAAGACTGAAGTTGATTGGAGTTTACCTGGGAAAAGGAGGGAGAACTGGCCCCCTCCCCTGCCCCAGTCCTGGGTCACTAAGGCAGCAGCAGTGGGGGGAAGTTGCAAGCTCAGGTCCAGTGAAGATCTGCCTGAGGCTGCAGGAGAGACCCACATCACCTGGAACGGGTGTGGGGATGGAGAGGGGTGTGGGGATGGGGAGGTGACAGGGTGACACGGACTTGTGCTTTAGGAAAACTAAGGATGCCAAAATGAAGACCAAAGTGAGCCTAGTTCCTATAGCCAGGAACTGGGTTTCCTCACGAGAGCAGCCTGGGAGATGGGTTAGCAGTGGTTGGCCCTGGGGGGACCAATGAGCTTGGCAATTTTTTTTAGGTGATGTTGACTGCTCTGTGGATGTGGTCTGGGGGCAGAATACCCACTGAGATGAAGGGTACTTCTGCAGGTGCCAGAAGTGGCCTGTCCCCAGTTACTTGGCTAAAGGGGACCAGAAATTAATGTTACTAACTGACAGGAGTCTAGTAAAAGGCTGAGGACTTTCACAAGACTCAAGGTGTCAGATTTAATCTACCAATTAGAAATTAACTTCAGCTTCTTTATTAGGTATCAGAGAAAGCTCTTAACTACACACATTCTAGGAAGACAGTTGGAAAACATGGAGGATGGACTCTTTCAAAAGGGACAGCTGTCTATGTTCTGGGTGTCTGGGGACGGTTGGCAAGCTGGACTGTGTGGCCTGTCTCTAAGGACCACTACCAGAGGATGCTGGGCTGTAGCAAAGCACCTGGAGGCAGCAGAGACAGGCTGGCAGGGCAGCCTTTGCTCTCGATGCCGTTCTGTTAGCCTGCAGGGGCCTGTTCCTGTGTCCTTAATTGTAAATATAGTTTAGGAAAAACCATCCGAGCTTATGAAGAGGGGAAACTATCCTTTGCTTAGGTACCAGATAGAAGAAACCTGGCCCTCAACTGCATGGTGTCTCAGTGCAAAGCAGGCCCCTGAATGCCGAGCAGCCCCCCTCTGGAAGCATCTGGGTGATCCAAAGTGGCTTTGAGAAGAGTAAGGCAAAGAAGACAGGTGACAGGGGCTGGTCCAGACCATTCCTGTTGTTGGGGGTGAGAAGTAGGGGTGACGTCACGGGAGCCTCCGGGCCACCTGAGGAAATTCTCTGGTTTGACAGTGGCTTTGCCTCAAACTTTCATAGCAGAAGAGTTTGAATTCTGATGCCACAATGCTGTCATACCAGGGGATTTTCTAGAGGCAAGTTAAGGCTTTCTGGGTAAGGAAAACAATTCCAGACGAAACCGTGACAGGATGCTGAAGTGACACAGTGACATGCTTCCTAACAACTTTCCTGTGTCTAAAGGAGGAAAACCAGGAGCTCCTCCAACTCCACACGTTTGTTTTTGCTTTTGTTTTGTTTTTCCCTTTTCTTCTTTTAAATCTGTCACTCTAAGTCAGGATCAAGGCCACGGGAAAAGAAAAGACTCTCACATCTCTAGCACCTGCTTCCGGGGCAAACACAAACAAGAACACATGTACTGTATCCCCGGAGCTGGCAAACTCTCTCTCTCAAGTCAGTCACTTACAAAGAGAGCTCTCATCCGGATGCCAGCCATATAAGCTCAGCTACCCAAAAGGCTCAGCCACTGAGTGAAGCCTGGGTTCAGAATGAGCCTTACAGGAAGGATTCTGCCCTGGCAATCATCCACGCTTTGCCTGGTCACACTGAAGGCCGGAGGTACTGTCTTTATTACCACTGGCCCTCACCAGCCACGGTCACAGCACTGCCCTCAGAATAGCAGGGACACTGTCTTAATGGTGAAGAAGAGAGAGACAGGCCAAAGATGGCTTTGGATTCCATCTAGAGTCCTAACTAGAAAAAGCTGAACGTGCACATTCTTTCTCTCCAAGTCCTCTCAAGATGAGCTGATGGGCCTCAATTCACCTGTTTCTACCTGTAAATACTTAGCAATGACTGAGCAAGTGATCCATACGTGTATGAAACAGTCTTAGAGATGATGAAGGATGAGGTACTAGGTTCAGAAAGGTGCAGCGACTTGCTGATGTCCAACGTGAGTTAGAGCCGGGGGTGGGGGGAGTGGGAGGCGGGGACGACACTAGAAGACAGGCCTCCTGACCCTGGGTATGAAACGCTATGGGGATTAAGGAAGATTTCCCTTTCAGGAACACTTCAGTAGCTTCTAAGGTAACATTAAGATGCCACAGAAATGAAAAGAACATGGACGGCATGACAAACTTTCCCCCTTCATTTGGTTCAGGGAATGGATGATGCAAAGTCATCTCAGGTTTTCAAGTCTGAGAAACTTCCTGCTAACTACACAGTCTTCATTATTTTTTTTTCAAGCTGGGTTATCCTAATTTGACAGAAGACAATGTCTTCCAATTATGCGAGAGGCAGGGGACACAACTAGAGTAATGTGGGTGCATTGGGTTTTAATGTTATTCCTGCCATAGAATATTCAGATCCATCTAATCTATGTCCTTGTTTTTTAGACTATTCAAATGTTCTCTAAAAATTTGGCCTTTGGTTCAAGTAAGTCCTCGATAGCCAGCAGACAATTCACATCATTATCAGAAATGGATGACTTCGGGAAGAAAGCAAGGAATTGAAGAGGAAGGAAAGAGGCTGGCCTCCATAAAGGGCTGTTCCCTCATTCATTAGGCAAGCCAGCACTTCCACATTCATGCCTCTGTGCTCTCATTCAGGGTCAAACAAGAATTTCCTGTCAGACTGCCACGGTCATGGTCTCATTTCCATGTCTGAGAATAAAGAGCTTCAGTTGATTTCATGTGAAGCAAAATGGAACGGCAGTGCCATTCAGAGCCACAGACTAAGGAGGTGTCAGCTGGCACATGTCCCCTCCCCCAGTCCTAGGGGCTAGAGTACCAGTCCCGTGGCAACAAAGGCTGTGCCCCAGCTCTGCCTCTCCTTGGTGGGCCTCCAAGACTGCTGCAAAGATCAGGCTTCCCAGGACAGTCTCCCTAGTCCTCCTAAGTGTGACAATAGGGCTGAGTTTTCTCTGAAGCAGGTGGCACCCAAGCTACTGCTTTGTCAGGACTTGGAAAGAGATGACCTCAGGCAAATGAAGGGAGCCCCTTACTTCTAAGGACAGTGACTCAACTCTATCCCCTTATTGCGTTCTTTAAAAGTCTTCAGGGATAAAGGCAGCAGCAGGAACTATGTGAGTCTTCTAATAGCTGTGGTTGGGTTGGGTGTAGGAAAACTGACAGAGAGGGACTAGCTTCCAAATTGAGGGATGGATGACAAAGTGCCAGCTTGTGCTAGGAGAACATAAAAAAGGAAATGAAAAAGAGAAATGACAACCATTGGGGGGCACAGTGACAGAATTCAGTGAGTGTGAGAAATTATATCGAAGCAAACTGGAGACCCCCAGACACCGCAATCTTCCAAGAGAATGTCCACGTATGATGTTGTGGGAGGACCCAGTGATTGTCAGAAAACAGTTCTTCAATTTACAGACGTTCCTGTCACAGTCTCTTGGGCCAATGCCCACACCCTCTATTCCACCTGCAACCCCGAGGATTGGCATTCAGGTACACAGGTGGCTCCTTAAATATCCATACAGACCTACTACTCTACTTCAGTCTGTCCTGCAGCCAAAGGAGATGAAGCAGAGGAAAAAAAAAATTGTTTTTTTTAAACAGTATCCAGGCAATTCACCCATAGTTTCATTTAATTCCAGATTGCAACTACTGATTTTTCAAAGTGCAGGTTCTTACAGATTCAAGTACCACAAGGGTTCCAGAAGAGTACTTGAACCCTAGAGTGATGTGTCCACTCAAGAAGACACCTTGGAAAGATTTATCCAAACATAACATAGAGGCTATTTAGTTACAAACTGGCTTCAAAAGAACAGCCTCTCCTCTCAGGTGGCAATGCATTCTTTCAAACTCAGATTCAACTTTTGAATTGTTTGGTATCAAAACCCAGAGAGTTAGGCAGACCCTGGGATGAAAATCTAAACTTACAAGCAAGTGATTAAGACTCTGAAATCTCTTTATATTAAATGGGGAAAGGGGAACATTGTAAGTCCTGGCATTTGCATGCTCAGCCTGGGAAGACAGACTCCCAGGCTCCCCCAGAGGGATGTTCTCTCAGACCTCAGTATACTGAGTTTGTCACTGAACTTTAGAACTGGTGGTCATCTCAGCATCTACCTGGTCCAAGTCCCCCGTTTAGTAGGCGAAGAGAGTCCAAAGGGACTTGTGCAGGGTCATAAACCCAGGGAGAAACTGGGTTTCTAGGGCTAAGCCCAAATGCCTTCTCCCTTTTAGGGACACTGCAAAGAGATGACAAAGGCAACCATACATCAGGCCCTGCTGCTTTGGAGGTCCCTGGGAGCAAAGACACTGTGGCTTATGAGTGTCAATTAAACAAGCCACCAAGATGTTTCTAATTTAAAGGCGTTGTAGTATGGTGTTTCCCTCAGTTTGCTGGGTGATGAGAATTCCCTGGGGCACTTGTCAAAAATTAAAATCCCCAGACCCCTTCCCTAACCCACTGAGTCAGCCTCTCCCAGGGGAGGGATCTGGGAGGCTGAATTTTTAGACAAGTGCCCCATGCAACTCTCAGCAGCAGCAAGGTGGGAGGAAGGTGTCTTAGGAAATGGTGAGAAGGAATTGGCTTTAGACTCAGGGCATCTCCATTGTTTTGGAGGCAAAACTGAGGCCCAGGAAGCCCCTGGCTCTCAGGCTCCCAAAGCTGATTCATTTCTTTAGCATTGGTCAGAGGGCACACACAACGGTCACAAAGTGACATACATCCTTCACGGTTCTCAGGGAAAGGCCTTTTGATTGGCAAAGCAAAACTGCAGTTCAGATGCGTTCCTCAGTAGGAAAACTAATGTAACTGGCGTGAAAGCAATCAGATACCGAAACTGGACAGAAGGGTGAGAATCTTGTAGCTTGTCACCATGGCTAACAACGTAATGGAGAAAACCCGTAACTAAGCACAAAAATAGCCTGGAGCTCCCAGGGAGAGCCGCCTACTTGAGACAGATTGCATGATGGGTGGCCCCCACTGATGGTATGAGGTCAGATCCAGGCCACTGAGGGAGAGGGGAGGACCTGAAACAGCCGTGGGTTCCAGAGGAGGGCTGCTGGAGCACACCAGAGTCCAGAGGCCTCATTCTACCTCGGCCTCCACCTGCTCCGAGTCTGAGCACTGGGACTTATTCCTTTCCCATTGGCAAATGGCATTGGCATACTCCACCACGAGCTTATCCATCCATGTCAGTGGCTCAGGGAACAGCACAGAGCCCTCGAAGAAGCCCAGATGGCCCCCGTGCAGAGGCAGCACAAACATGACATTCTCCCGTTTCTCTGTGGGGGGAAGGTAGCAGAATTACAGCATCCTGTTAACTCCAGAGCAAGAGGGCAAAGGTGAGAGCTGGGGAGCCTGGGCATTCCTTGGAGACCCTAAGCAGGCATCCAACCATTGCTCACTGTGCCTTTTCTCAAGTGGGCAGGCAAGTCAGATGGACCTCATGAGTCTGGTGTAGAATGTGCGCTGAAAAGGCTGGGGGCATAGCTCAATAGTAAAACACCGCCATAGTGTATAAAACCCCCCAGAGATCAATCTCCAGCAATGCCAAAAGGGCACCAGCTTCAGAAGCTCTTAGAACTCACACTTAAAGTTCTAGTTCTATAAACCCAAGCTGTGCCGGCCCCCACATGACTAAGTTTCAACATTAGGGGTACAAGAGAGCGAAGCAGGGAGCCAGCGCTGTGCTGGGGACACTCAAGTGCTCCAGCTGATTGGCTGTGCTTCCCAGCTTTGTGTACCTGGACTCCCCAGGGCATCTTACTGATTAGAGAACTCCAGGGGTGGGAAGGCTCAGAGGAGGGGATCACAGCACTAAAGCAAGCAGGTGATGAGAGAAAGGAGAGCACAGGGCATCAACCTTCAGGACAAAGGCCAGCCAGACAGCTTGGCCCATCTTCCAGAGGACATGAATTCCCAGCACCCACATGGCAGCTCACAACTGTCTTTGAATCCCATTCCAGGGCATCCTCACAATGACGTACATGCACACAAAGTAAAAATAAATCTTAAAAAAAAAAAAAAAAAAAAAAAAAAGATGCCCAGGCTCCCAGTGCCAGGCACTAAATGGCTAAATGGCTCCCCTGAGAGTTGAGGGGCTGGGGCTGAACTTCGGCCCGTCTCACTTCCTCCACTCTTCCTTGCTAGTTGCTATTTTGTACTTTTCTGTGGGGCAGCATTAGTCCTGTAAATGTTATTTTCGGGCCAGGAGATAAGTGCTGTTGCACGTGGCTGTGAGTGGGCTGTGGTGTGCTGGGAGTCCGAGGGTGGCTGGGGGTTGACAGGAGATAGCTTCTGTCACAGAACATGCTTTCACACATGCAGCCTTTCTCCTGGGCACGACAGAAGCTCTGGAAGTCCTTCCTCTGCTACCTTATCTACTCTTGCAGGTGTGGTAGTGGGAGTGCAGGGTTAGCTCTTCCTTTAGGCTACCATATTTACAAGAGGAAACATAATCACAGAGAACTGTGATGCCCCAGGGACCTGAAACTGCAATTAGAAGTAACTGGAACCCCAGTCTTTCTTCGTTTCCTCTCTCTGCCTTCCCTGTAGCGCAGACCATGGGATGGATTGAGTCTGCACAGAGTTTCTATGAGCAGCGTTCTCTGCCATTTCAGCTGCTGGAGGGGCTGTCTTCGGAGGAAGCAGAATTTGCTTTGCTTTGCTTTTTAGGGCAAATTTTAGTTCTAAATATCTTTTTCAGCCAGTTTCTCCCATTTAATGGAATGATAGCTCTAGGACGACACTGCTGCAGAACACTCTTGGTGATGGACATCAAGAATGGTCCTGTCTCCTGCACCAGGATGGAAGTCTAGAAGGTTCTACCCAGGGCCCTTTACAACCCAGGACTATCAGTCAATGAGCTGCCCTTCTCCCTAGAGAACAGCAAAAGTGACAAAATTTACAGTGGTGATCTGTTGTGTGGCTGGGAAGACAGTGGGAAGAAACTCACCTGAGAGAGACTTTGGAATGTTTAGAAGGCTTTCGTGCACCAAGGGGTCATCAGCTGCATTCACCAGCATAAGAGGCACGTATATCTGCAGCAAGAAGGAAAACTAGAGTTAACCAGCCCGCTCCCTACCAGACATGCCTTTGAAGCAGAGGGAAATGCTCACAGCTCGGTTTGCTGGGTTGGAGCCTTAGGGGTGCCTCAGCTTCTTGAGTACTGGTTATTGCAGGTGCAGCTACTCTGCCTATTACAGGTTTCAGAAGGCGTGTTCCTTATCACTTTGATACAGAACTCCACCTAATTTATTCTGTGTTTACCAGATCATGGCAGAAATCTGGGAGTTTAGCCCTAAGTAGCATGTTAATAAGATCATATGGCTACAAGAAAGGGTCCAGGGCAGAAAGAAAGCCGGATGGATCTATGAAAAACCACACCAGAAAACAGGTGTTTTTATTATTATACTATCAAAGGATGTCTAAGGATAAGCTAGATGCTGTAGGCAATCCCACAGACTTGAGAAAAGCCTGAGAGTCTGAGTGTGGCTCTGGGATTGACAGCATGGCAGTCACAGCGAGGGTGACTATCTCAATGGAAAGTCTGAGTGATGAACTAGAGTGATGCTGGTCAAACTCTGGCTCTGTTTCCACCAGCGAACTTTGGAAGGGTATTTGTTGCACTGAGGGCAGAGCTGGCCCCTGCAACACTGACTCTGAGACTGGGCTGGGCTATGGTGGCACTGATTTGGGGTGACGCTGACTTTGAGATGGGGCAGCCACTCACCCTGTGCAGGTATCTCATGCAGCTTTCTTCCTCATAATATTCCTTCAGGGAGTTATAGCCATGGAACTTTCTGGAACACAAGCACATAAACACACACACAAAGGTAAAACAACATCTATTATAGAACTGAGCTGATAACTCTCTGGTTTTCACACTAACTCAAGACAATGGCAGAATCTGCACAGGCAGATGGTTCTAGCGATTATACTAAATAAAACAAATATACGTGGCAGAGTTTGGAGTGAAGAGCATGGGCTTAGGATCTGGATTCGAGTCCTGGCTCTGCCCCCTTTCTGGTTGGGTAATCTCAGTTTCCTGGGCCTTGGCTGTCGCACTGTAAAAGTGGATCAAAGGCAGAATCTTCCTTGATGGTGCTGTGAGAATGATAATACCAAAGTGCTTATGTGCACCTTGCCTGGAGAAACCTCACCCAACATTAACTGTTATAATCAGCATTGGCTGCTGCATCTTTCGAGGTGGCATAAACTCGTTTATCACCTTTGAGGAGAAACTCAGGGTCACAGGCATGCATGTGCTAGAACTTCGCTTTCGGCAGGGATACCCTGGAGCTGCTGGAATGAAGTGTGCCAGAGAGTAAGATGTGGCAAGAGCATGTTGAAGTTGCCAGTTCTGTTCAGGCAAGGAGCAGTATCTGTCACTGACCACCTGAGGTTTCACAACTTCAGAGAGGTCTGCCGCTTGCTCAGCTCTGTGCTGAGAGGTTTGGAGAGTTTAGCTGGGGCTCTGACGCTACCCCAAATTCTACCCTGGCCAGAAGACCTCTGAACCTCCCTTTCTTTCCTACCAGGGTGGAGCCTCTAGTCTCTGAAGGTGGACCTTCCGTTTTGATTCAGGTCTCTGAGATGTCCTGCCTCCCCCAGAGCTGTTACAGATCTTTTCCACCTCCAGCCTTCTTAGGTATCTTGGTCAGGAAATGACCCAGAAGGCTCAGGCTAGACCAATAGGGACCCTGGTGGGGAAGGAGGCTGTGTACAGAGATCACACCCAGAATGTGTCAATCTGTCCTCTGTGGTCTTCCCAAAGTATCCCATTCCTCCAGCATTGCTGGTGACCACTCTGAGGACGCTGCCAGAGTGGTTTGATTACAGAAATGCTCCCACCCAATACTACTAATAATGAAGAGCTTTACAAGAATTGAGGGACTTTTTCTTTTGGACCTAAATTAAGAAGATGGATGGGACATTTATATTAAATTAAAATTAAATTACTTTTCTCTCATTAGTTACCACAGTAAGTTATATATTGTAAGAGGGCTGGACATCATTTATTTCTGTGGTAGTTTGAAAGTAATTGGCCCCCACAATCTCATAGGAAATGGCACTATTAGGAGATGTGACTTTGTTGGAATAGGTATGGCCTTGTTGGAGGAAATGTGTCACTGTGGGGCGGGCTTTGAGGTTTCCTATGCTCAGGATATAGCTCAGTGTCTTAGTCAACTTCCTATTGCCTGCAAGATGTGGGACTCTCAGCTACTTCTCTAGCACCACATCTGCGTGCCTGCATGCCACCATGCTCCCTACCATGATGATGATGGACTGAACCTCTGAAACTGTAATGGAGCCACCCCAATTCAATGTTTTCTTTATAAGAGTTGCCAGGGTCATGGTGTCTCTTCACAGCAATAAAAACCCTAACTAAGACAATTTCCATTTTGAAAATATACTAGCAATTCCATAGCTTCTATTTGGTTTGAGCAACCAGCACCTTTAACTTTACCTGGTGTGAAAGGATAAGAGTTTCAGGAAGAAAAAACAGAGCTCTCACAACCTCAGGCCAATGGCCACCTATCCGAGAAGGACCTGCTTGCTTTAGGCTCTGTCTGAAGGTAACAAAGGATTGTGAAATGTGAAAGACAGCAACAAAGGCTGAGACCACCTCTACAAGTGATGTTCTAACTTCAGTTAGGAGGTGCCGGTGCCAGCGAAGGTGAGATCATAGGAGCTACGAGTCCAGGCAAGGAAAGAGCGAATGAGAGAAACGGGTGGGGATTATGTCTTCCACTGTGAAGCATCTTCATCTCATCCCCACACCCAGAAAGTGGTTCCATGTCATGTCTGAAACCTGCGGCTCTTTTGGCCTACCTTTGCTCATCACTTAGCTGTCAAAGTCTGGATGAGCATGCTTACCATGTAGAAAAACTACTCCCCCCACTGCAAAGGCAGAGCTGGGGGCACTGATCTTATCCTGTGTTGAGGCAGGACACACAGTGTGCAAAGGGGGACACACTAGGTGTACTACTAGTGTACTAGGTGAGCACACTTCACTCCCTAGTTCAAGCTGCTGTGGCACATGGGGTGAATGGTCAGTCTCAGCCCATTTCCAAGAGATGAGCATTTTCCTACAATCTCTTATTCTAAGCACTAGACTCTTACTAAAATGAAAAGAAGCCACCGAAGCAAGTGCAGCAAGGCAGTGGTGCTGGGCAGAGCTGACTGGCAGCCTCTGGCCTGGCCTTGGGGACCCACCTCATCACATTGTCATCAATCTGCATCAGGGATGTCGCTGTGTAGAGCCGGCTCAAGTCTGTGTCCTCCAGGCTCTGGGGTTTCTTAACATGGTCTCCAAAAAGAGCTTGTCTAGAACAAGACACACAAGTGAACACAGCAATGTAGAGGAGAAACCGCCACAGCAGTGCCCGCTTTCCTGTCCAGGGGTAGACCAGGAGTGACAGCCGCCATGGGGCCAGAGATATGGCAAATTAGACATGCAGACCTTCAGTTCTTTTTTTTTTTTTTTTTTAATTATGTTTTTTGTTTCCCTGTGTTACTGGGGATTGAACCTATAGTCTTATGCATGCCAGGTAAGCACTCTACTGCAAGCTATAGTCCCAGCTTTTATTTCTTTAATTTGTATTTTCTTTTTAAACACAGGGTCCCTAAGGAGTCTCGTTAGCGCAGTAAGTAGTGCATCAGTCTCATAAAACACAGGGTCCCCTGTAGTCCGGGAGCTAATTTTAAATCCCTTACACAACCAGGAATGACCTTGGACTCCTGAGCCTCCTGCTTTTACCTCCCACATTCGAGGATTACAAGCATGTGCTACCATGCCTGGTTCCTTTGAGTCTTCAGAATATCCAAGAAGATGAGCATGTTTAGGGAAGTAAACATTAAAGTCCTATTTTCCTTTCAGGGTACCAAGACCAACTGATAACCAGGTTTCCAGTTGGCTGGATATTATGCACCTCTAGCATGGGAGGAAGCCCAGAAAGACCCTTTTGGAAGAGTGATGGGCAGCAAGCCAAACACAAGGATTCAGGTTTACACTGACATTGATGCTGCCAGTGGCTGGCAGGCCCTTGTTCCCTTTACAAGCTGTTTGTGTTGCTTAATAAGGAAGTTGACCAGTAACACGGTCAGCATCTGGCTAAACCAACCAGCAGCTCTCCACAGTGTTAGCTGAAAAGCTGTAAACTGTCACCCTTGGTATCCACAGGCAATTAGTTTCAGGATAGTTCTCAGATGCCAGGCAGTGGTGGCACACACCTGTAGTCCTAGCACTTGGGAGGCAGAAGCAGGTGGGTCTCTGTGAGTTCTAGGCCAGCCTGGTCTACAGAATGAGTTCCAGGCCAGCCAGGGATACACAGAGAAACCCTCTCTTGAAAAATAAAACAAAACAACAACAAAAAGAGGGTACTGCTCAGAGATCCAATCCACAGATACTCCAGGACTGATAATTTTGGAGAGTGGTGGTGGTGGAATGGGACAGAGCGGGGTCTCTTTGTGTTACCCAGGCTGTACTCAAACACCTAGGCTTAAGCAATCTTCTGCTTCAACTTTTTGAGTAGCTTGGACAACAAGAACATGTGCCATCATTCCTGGCTTTAGGATGTGCATGTAACTCTGCTGTCCCCTGTATGTTTAGTCATCTGTAAATTACTTGTAATACCTAAGATACTGTGAGTGGAATGGAAATGGTTGCTAGACTTGACTATACTGTTTAGGGAAGAAGTAAGAAATAAGCTTTCGGATGTGAGGGTGATGGGGCTGGCTTGGCTAGTGACCCCCTTGTTCCTCAAAGCTCCCTGTATGTCTCCATGGAGGCTGCAAGATTGGTCAAAGAGGACAACCTTCTCTAAACAGAGAATAGCCTTCAGTCAAGGGCATACATGTAGCTATGCTCCTCTGCTAGAACCTGTAAACAAACTCTCAAGAGGTTAACTTGCACACACTCGGCACAGATAGAACCTTTGCAAGGCTAACTGTGATTTCCATCTGCTGTTGTTTGAACCTGTGCATCAGTGGGGAGATAGAGCAGTAGGTTCCATATAGAGGTCATTTCTATGACGCGAAATGGCCATTTCAGACATGACGGTGAAGGTAGGGATGACAATGGGCAGGGTGAACTTCCCTTCCCAGCCGGCGCTCTCAGTCACGCAGCAGAGGGAGGACTGAGTGTACTTTGAGGGTTGGCGCGACAGTAGGATACAGTCATGCCAGAAATGCAGTGTTCTGGTACCCATTTATAACCTCTCTAAAAGGAGATCAACAGCCTTCCTTAGGACTTACTTTTTCCCAAATAAGGCAGCAGAGGATTGAATTCATAACCTAAAGTTTCCCTCGGAGTTCAGCAAGTTAGCTTTCTATGGTAAACACACTAACATGCCTTCCCAATTTGTTAGCAATTGCACGATGACTTTTTAGCGACACCTTTCGGCAAAACAAATCTTCCCCAGTCCTTCCCCTTCCCTGTCCATTCTAGAGGTGCAGACATAAGGACTTAAACTTGCCATTGGCAACCTAACTTCACCCTGTCTGACTAGAGAGCCTCAGTAAATCCTCAGACCCATATGGACTTCAGCTGGGCTGTACTCCATTCAGTGTCCAGCATGTGACTGACGCTCGCATCACAGGAGTTGAGAGGGACATGGACCAAGAAAAGGACCAAAAGGACTGCTCACTTAGAATGCTTTTTTTCTTGGGGTGATGCCAAGAGTCCCCTTCAAAGTCTGTTTCTTGAATGTTCCTTGGAGTCCCAGGCTCTAGAGCAGTGTTGTGACCCTTTAATATAGTCCCTCATGTTGTGGTGACCCCCAACCATAAAATTATTTTTGTTGCTAGTTCTTGACTGTAATTTTGCCACCGTTGTGATCTGTAAATATCTGTGTTTTCCAATGGTCTTAGGTGATCCCTGTAAAGGTCATTCAACCCACAGGTTGAGAACTACTGCTCTAAGGAAAGTGAAAAGATGCCTGGTATACTCAAGACACAAGACAGACCCAAGGGAAGCTTCAGAAAAGCAGCTTGGTGCAAGAAGGGTAACCTACATGGGCTTTAAGGACGGTGTGGGCCCAGTGGGCAGAAGCGGACAAGGACAGACTGGTGGAGACACAAAGGGACCAGGGGTCCCCACACGCTCCAGTCTAGCTAGAGGGGAAAGGAAGGGCCATGGAGAAGGGAGCGAAGACAACAATGGGAATAATTACAACAAAGCCTGTTGGTGCCCATAAAGGTGGCTGAACCCCATCTTGGCACAAGAACAGAGAAAACTGTCCTCAGCAAGTCTTAAGACCCAAAGGTCAAAGGCGTGGCTACAGTGGGGTGCTTAGCTGTCTTATTCTAAATAACAACAGACCTGAATTTGAGGCGTGGCTACTCCTGATCCTCAAGGCCAGGGAATAAGAAGTTGGAGCTAAGGTGTGTTTACTGAACCCTTAGAATAAGTGAGGAAGAAAAGTCTGTTTGTTCCATATACATGATACCATATTCCCCCTTTTGGTTAAGGTATATAAGAGTGGTGAAAAATAAACTCGTGGCATTTCAGTATTGACTGATTTGTCCTCCTGACCTTTATTCTGTGTCTTTGTCTTTTCTTTATCGTTTAGCCTTTCCTTCATTCACACACCCTCACTCAGGTATGAACATGGGGCCACTCGGCTGGTTCCGACTGCAGCCCCACAAAGACAGCTTCCCACAAAAGCCATCGCTGACATCCCTTGGCCCACTCCTGCTCCCTCCACATTGCTCAAAGAGCCCGAGCCTCGAGCAGGCACATGCTGGTGCGCTGCTCTGAGTCTCCTGCTACGTGGCTGAAGCTGAGGCCTGGCCAAGGTCCAGTCCTGAAGCCCTTTGCAGGAGCATCCTGAGGAGGAAGGCCCCTTAAATGATGACAGCCAGCCTCAGGGCTGCTCTGAATGGTAGAGTGGCATGGGAAGAGCTTCCTTGTGGTATCTTAGTGGGAGTTACCAGGTATCTCCTGCGACAGAAGAGACAGTGGCATACCTGTGGGACAGGATGATCTTCTTCATGTTGTCAGCCATGAGGAAATTGTAGAATCGGCGGCACTGGTCCCACTGCATGAAGGTCTCCTGGGCCCTGGAAGAACCACAGCCAGTGAGAGATGCCATGACTTCTGTGAGGGGCTGTGGGGACAGTGCACGCCTGGCTTGTGCCCATGCCTGGTTATCAGCTTTGGTGTGCAACATCCAGGGAGAAGCTACAAAGCCCTCTGAAGATGACTCTGCAGGAAGCCTCCTGGGCCAGAAAGGCACAGCTGGCTACTGGTAGGCATGCCTGACACCTTCTTGGCCTTCTGGCATCTGCTCAACTGCTTAAATCTTAAATAAATTAGTGGGGAGCATAAAAGGGGTGTGAGATGAAGCTAAAGCTTCAAGTGGAGAATAACATACTTTCCGAGAAGCCACCATCATGTACGGGATCTCCCTGCACCTTGCAGATAGAAACGCAAACAACATCACCACAGACGAGCCACACCATCGCAGGTAGGATACTATGAACTCATGCCTAATGTCCTTCTTCTCAAGCATCCAGCCACAAGCTGTTGCTCCTCTACTTCGTTCCTCCTCTCTTGACCTTCGACTCCTGTTGCTGCTTTCTCTGAGAGTCATGCCATGGTCTCCCAGAGGTCTGGTTTTCTCTTGATCTCATTAATTTCTCCCTTTGCTTTGGTCCTGACTGAGGGGCATTCTGCTTTCTTTAGTTCCTACTAAGATGGACTGCAGAGGTAAGGAGGGGAGGGTAGTCCTGGCCATAATGTTATGTGTCAGCAGTGCAGAGGTTTTTAGGTTTAACCCACGGGTGCTGCCTAGCAAGAGTCCCTGGAGTTCACAGGGATCCAGAGCCAAGGAGGGTGAAGCCAAGGGTGTGGTGCCAATGAGCCACCTTACTTTGCTAACTGTGCTGTTTATCTGCCAACAGCAGGTGGCGCTATTGCGGCAAAAATGCAAGGAGACTTGTTTATTCTAAGATTGGAGAGGACAGCAGTAGGGAGAGGAGAGGGAGGAGGGGAAGAAAAGGACAAATTTGTCACCAGTTTCCTATTTATAAAACCCCAGTGCTCTCTGAACACTAGGTTAGCATTGACAGCAAGTTCCTTGCACTGAGGCTAGGAAGGGACTCTAGTGGAATCTAAGGGCAAAGTTGACAAGGGTGTGGAACATTAGACCAGCTGTCGGCCGAGGCAGGGAAGACCCCTCATCTCCAGGACCCGCTCCCTCAGTATCCTTTTCTTATGCAAGTGACTGCACAGGATGGATTCTGGCTAGCTCTAGTCCTACGTGACCATGAACTGGGAGATGTATGTACACCTTTTGGCCATCTATGGGAAGGCTCCCATGGGATGAGAGGCTAATGTAGTCTGAAATGCCAGAGCTAGAGGTCACCGAACCCAATGACTGCTTAACACAGAATCCTCTATGAAGTGGGTCTAGAAGACGGATTCCTGGGGTTCATCAAATGGACACCTCCAGACATAGGGCTCCACCGCCCTGAACTTATTTCTAACACAGTCCCCTCAAGCGATTCTTTCTGTAAAACCTTACTTACTATTATTGTGTGTGTATGATGATGTATGTAGGTGCACATGCCATGGCACACAGACACATGGAGGTCAGGACAGCTCTGTGGAGTTGATTTTGGCTAGCTCCGGTTTATGTGGGTTTTCGTGATCAAACTTGGGTGGTCAGACCTCCTCAGCAAATGCATGAGCCACCTTGCCAATCACTCCAGTGAGTCTCAATGTGAGACAGCCAGTGACTTATAGACCGGCCTTTGTGGTCCTCATCTAAGCCACCCTCCCTCTTCATTTCCCAGTGGCAGTAGTGATGCTGCTGCTGATTACATTCTGTAGCCAGGCATTGCTCTGAGTACTTCATGCACACAAACGCATTCTCATCCTGTAGGGTGTCTGCTGGCTGAGGTGTATACTTGCTCCCTGGGCCAACTTCCCAGGAGGCCGAGAGGTGAACCACCCTTCAGGTGAGGACACTGCTTAGATGACTTCCACAAGTCCCTTCAGACACCGTATGCGACTCAGGGCTCCTGACAGGCGGAGAGATCCAGGGTCACAAGGCCCAGGGATCAGATACTGTTGTTTCCTGTGTTCTCCCGTTAACCTGTAGTTCTGCCATATTCCTGAAATTCAGACATAATCAGAGACTCCCCAGGGAGGTAGCAGCTATTACAGTGGCTGTGAATTTGGTGACCTAACTATGGGATCTGATCCTAAAATACTGTGATGCATCTCAGGCTTAACAGGCCTGCTAGGACGACTCTGGTGTACGGAATGGAAACAGATCCGGCTGAGTCTAAGTCTACAAGGTGCTCTGATGTCTTGGCTAAGTGCAATAAACAAGTACTATCAACTGAAGGACGCAAGGGAAGGTGTGTGTGTGTGTGTGTGAGTGTGTGTGAGAGTGTGTGTTTGTGTATGTGAGTGTGAGTGTGTGAGTGTATGTGTGTGTGAGTGTGTGTGAGTTTAAGAGAGACAGACAGAAGCAGAGAGAAAGAGGAGAGGAGGGGGAGAGATGTAGATGACTCACCTCAGTGCACTGTACCCCTGGCACACACTGACACAGCACAAGACCTTTTCCTGGTTTGCCTGCGTCTCCCCCAGGTATTTGCACACGATGTTACCACCCAGGCTGAAGCCCACGACAACCAGCTGGGTCTGGGGATACGTCTTCTTGATATAGTTCACCATGGCTCCAAATTCCCATGTGCAGCCTGAGGGGAAAAGGTGAGGTCCCCCAGTCATTTCAGATGCAACAATTACTGAAGAAAATGCAAGCTAGGGAGTTTATAACTGGGTGCCAATACACTGAATGAGACATATATGCATATATGTTAAGAAAGAACAGGTAGGCAGACAGACATTGCTTTTTTAGCTGTGTAAGGGAAGCCCCCTCATATCAGAGAAAACTGGGCATCAGCAGTGTTTATGAGCAGATGGACACAAGTCAGTAGATTTACAATGCTCCTTTAAAGCTGGCCGTGATTTACTAGTTTAGTTGCTCCCGGGCACTCATGATCTTCAGGGTGAGTGTAAGCACCAGTGTTCACGCACAGATATAAACACTGCAAGAGTTAAACCCTTTGGGGGGGATTGATTGGCTTCTTAGCTACAAATTGGGGTGGTATACCCATGTGTACAATGATTCATGGTGCTAAGAACCCACAGGGCATTATTTACAGGATCTTCTTGCTAGCTCTGGGGAGGGAGAGAAGATGAACCCCAGTCCAGAGGGACACCCAGGATGCTCTGTAGGGTTCAGCCAAATGTTCTTGGTGACAGGGATAGCGTGCCAAGGGAGGCCAGCTCATTCAGAAACACTCAAAGGTGCCGTGTGAATGGAGAGGGTGTTTGGGTCAGGCCTGCCCAGGAGGGATGAGCTCAGCTGGTGTCCTCTGGGAAGCTGTCAGAACCAAGCTATGCCGCTATGGCTTTGCTAAGAGAAAGAGGTTGGTGGGTATTTATAGGCAAAGGATTTAGCACGTTCTTCTAAAGGGCTAAGGCCGGAGTGCGGGGAGCCAACTTAAGAGTAAACCTAGCTGAAAAACCACTGGAGGCTAGCAGAAGGACACACTACACACACCCCAGCATGGAAAAATGGATTTACATCGGGGATGGGAGCTGTTGCCCTGCCACTGGCACAGAGGTTTAATACCCCTAAATGGCCCAACAGTATCTTCCAGAATTGACAAGCTATGGGAACAACACTCTTAAGATCTAGAACAACTCCCTTCCATCTGTCTGTGCTGTTTGATACAAACTGGAGTCATTGAGGAAGAGGGAACATTAATTGAGATGATGCCTCCACCAGATTGGGCTGTAGGCAAGTCTGAGGGGCATTTGGGGAGGGGCAGTTAATGATTGATGTGGGAGGGTCCAACCCATTATGGTGGTGCTGGGCAGTTGGCCTTGGGTTGTACAAAAGTCAAGCTGAGTGAGCCGTGAAAAGCAAGCAGGGAAGTAGCAGCCCTTCATGGTCTCTGTGTCAGTTCCTGCGCTCAGGTTCCTGTTTGAGTTCCTGCCTGACTTCCCCCAATGATGGACTATGACCTGGCAGTTAGAAAATGAAACAGACCCTTTCCTTCCCCAAGTTGCTTTGGTCATGGAATTTAATAACAGCAATAGAGACCAAACTAAGGCACATTTACTATTTTCATCTTTCCCTTGCAGGGGTGGGGGGTGGTGTGGTGGTCTCATGAATCCTAGCTGGCCATCAGAATGTCTTGGGGTGGGACCTAATGGGCATGGATGATCTTTGGGGGTCCCCCTGGGTGGTCTATGTGTACCACTAGGTCTGTCTAATAACCATTTCTCTAAAGAAGAAGTCTTTTAGTCTAGGCACTATGACTCCTGTCATCTTAGCACTTGGGAGACTGAGGCAGGTTTGTAGTCTAGCTGGGGCAACATAGAAAGACCTTGTCTCAAAAGACAAAAAATAAAACAAAGCAGGCCTAATGGTACACCTTTGTAACCCAGCACCCTAGGTGCGTGCGTGCGTGCGTGCGTGCGTGCGTGCGTGTGTGTGTGTGTTGAGGCAAGATTGCTTGAAGTAGAGATCAGCCTGGGCTATCTAGTGATTTTCAGGCTAGCCTGGACTGCATAGCAAGACCTTGTCTCATAAAACAAACAACAGCAACCAAGTGACCCGATATATGAGAAAGGATTTTGTTTTTGTTTTTCAAGACAGGGTTTTTCTGTGTGACCCTGGCTGTCCTAGGACTCCCTCTGCAGACATGGCTGGCCTTGACCTCAGATATCTGCCTACCTCTGCCTCCTGAGTGCTGGGATTGAAGGCATACATCAAACTTCCCAGAAAGAACGGGTTTCTTCTTGAAGTATGCTCCTGTTTACTTCTGGTGGTTTTGGTCCAGATTTCCTTCCCTTTCTACATGCAGTAAGAGTCCTGCACAGGTGAGGGCGCTGCACAGCGTTTTAGAAGCATGCACAACTTTTCCTCATTTCCTAAATGCAAGGTTTTCCCAGGAGGCCACTGGGTTCCAGGTCACCATAACCAGGCACTCCCTGAAGATTGTCCCTATCTGACAAACACTTCTTTGCAGGTAATGCTCCTCTGCAAAGAGGGACTCAGAAAACCTGCTTGGAAGCAAATCTCACAGCAAAGGGCTGGGTTGGGCTCAGTGCTAGCCATGCTTGTTTGGCAAGTATGCAGCTCTAGGTTTGAGTCTGAAAGAGAAATAAACATGGCTACAAGAGCTGGCACAGTGAATGGCACAGTGTGGGCCATATGTGGGAACTTGCCCCAAACCTACTAACCCAGGAGCTCCAGAGGCAGGATAACACAGAGCTGCAGGGTTCCAACAGAGTTCCTCCTTCAGAGGTTGTGGGTATTCTGAGTCTACATTTCCAGTGTGATGGCAGATAATGAGACTGTTGGTCCAGGGTTCCACTGGAGAATTACCATCCTAGTGGGTAGGGAAGGAGGATGAAAGCCTCGATTCTGTTCCTTTTGTTTTTAGAAGGCTAGCAGAGAAAGGCTAGCTGTGTTATTCATAGGTAGGAAAATTTAAATTAAAATAACAACTTGCATTATTATTTTTCTGCTGCTGCAATCAGAAAAGATCATGAAGTCTGCCAATATCCAAGACTGGGGAAGTTGCAGGCAACAAGCTTGCAGGTATGTTCACTGTGAAAGAATGCATGGTGGTGGACGGTGGTGCATGGTGGAACAGAGAGACCTTAGAATGTATCATGCAGTCCTGTGGCTGGAGAGACAGCTCACCGATTAAGTGGACTTGCTGCTCTTGCAGAGGACCAGCTTCAGTTCCCACCACTCATTTGTCAGCTCACAGCCACCTGTAACTCCAGTTCCAGGGGATCTAATGTCCCCCTCTGACTTCTGAGCACGAGGCATGCACAAGGTGCACAGATGTTCATGCAGGCAAAACACCCAAACACACTTCAGTGGTCTGAATAAGAAGTGTTCCCCTTAGTCTCAGCATTTGAACACACGGTCCCTGTTGGTGATACTGTTTATAGATGTTTAGGAGGTGTGGCCTTGTCACAGACACACATTTTGAAGGTTTAAAGGCTCATGCTTTGTGCTTGTAGTTCAGGATGTGAGCTTTCAACACCCTGCTCTGGCCACCATCCTGTCTGCTCCCTCTGTCCCACCATCATGGACACTAACTCTCTAAAATCATAAGCCCAAATAAATTCTTCTATAAGCTGCTTTGGTTGTAGCATTTTATCATAGCAACAGAAAACCAATATGCACATTTTTTTTTTTTAAGGTACCATCCTTAAGCCAGGTATGCTGGCATACACCTGAAATCCTAGCACTTGGGAGGTGGATGCAGGGTGGAGGTGAGGGTCAGGGGGTGGGGAAGTGGAATCAGGAGGGGGGGTTGGGTTGGGGAGGTGGAATCAGGAATTTAAGGTTGGCGTTGGCCACATAGCATGTTTCAGGCCAGCTTGGGCTACATGAGACTATATCACAAAAAACAGAAACGGGCTAATTTTTGAATCATTGACACAAAGGGCAGGACTATGAGTTCACACCCAGCCTGGTTACAGAGTTAGACCCCATCTCAAATAAGAACAAAATTAAAAACACAATGTTTGGTCTAGCAATTCCATTTCTGGGAACCTCATGCTGCAGATACAATTGAGTATGTGTGCAAAGATGTATGTACATGGATGTTCTTGGCAACTGCTGTTTGTAGCAGTGAAGACCTTGGAACAACTCCCACTTCTATCAGTAACAGAGTAGTGGGCGAGGTACATGAACCATTGATCTGTTGTGAATGATGGTGAGGAATCTGACCTGCTGGGTGAATGATGATCCATCTTCCAGAGGGACCAAAACAAGGGAGGCAGTGTGAAAGGGTGCCATCCCACATGTGTGCTTAGGTTTATAAGGGAAATATATGTGTGCACATATCTAACTGAGTATTTGTGAAAAACTGTGGCAGAAACCAAGGAGAGAACTGTGGGGCTCATGCTTAATAAAAGCAACCTAGCTAGTTTAAATCTCCAGCCAAACAGAGATCCCCAAGGCTAGTTTCAACTATGCTGAAGAGACCCGACACATCAGTAATGCGGACAGCAGTATATGCTGGGGATGTTATTTGCATAAGGAATGGTTCTAAGGGGATTTTTTACACTGTTAAATGTAAAAATCCTTCTCTACCATTTCTTTGGATTTCTGCCTAATATCAGCCTTGGCTAATCACTCATATCTTTATGCCCTGTTCTAACGTTGAGTGAGCTACTATTAGATTATAAACTCCATAAAGATGTCCTTGATCTTGCTCCCCACTGCATCTGTGAGCCAGATGCTTAAAGGATGCTTAATTGGCATGGCCTAAGCCAAGAGATGGAAGGGGGAGGCACTCTCTGCTGCATGTTTTCTGCTTGGATCACACAGATAAAGAGAAAGAAATGTCGGCTGAGGTGACTTGTCCTCCCTGACAAGGTGAGTGAGAATGCTGGCCTGAGCAGCAATGCTGGCCTGAGAGGGGATGCTGGTCTAACTGGGATGCTAGTCTGAGTGGGATGCTGGCCTGGGTGGGGATGCTGGTCTGAGTGGGGATGCTGAACTGAGCTGGGATGCTGGCCTTTGGTACTTGCATCTGAATTCCAAGCCCAAGTCTTCTGCCCTGTATCACAAACCTACAGAGGCAACAGTACTGCAGGGGAGTACTGCTCAATTATTAAAGATTCACTATCTTCCCTTCTGACCCCTCCAGCAGTA